TATACCTCATTGCATTTAGTTTAATTAGCATGCTTCATTTATATTACGTGATATTCCTATCAGAGTAATATATGCGGATGATATTTCCTTTTTTTTAAGATTTCATTGAAATGATATATTCTTTCAATTCAGGATATTAAACTTCTAAAAACGCATTTAAAACTTTGTGCTCAACAATTTAGCGACGGATATGAATTAAATCTAATTTAATTTTTATACACACGGTTAGAAAAACATGGTGGAAATATACCATCAGCCCAGGCGGGCGAGTTTTAAATTCCAAAAAATATACCGTATACACAATTAAAATTTAGATATACTTTGATTCCGAGGTATACAAAAAATATACCTGTGTTAATTAAGATATACCGTGTACACAAATTTTAATTTTAATTTTAGGTACCGTGTACACAAAATTTAATTTTAGATATACTTAGATTCATAATTTAATTAAGTACTAAACGTTTTCTAAAACTTTGTATTAAATTTTACATCCTGACATAACGACAAAAAATGTACTCGATTACAAATCTACTTAGATTCCAAATTTACTATATGCACCAATAATAACTGACAAGAATAAAATAATTAAATCGAATTTATTTTTTATAGACACGGTTGGAAAAACATGGTGGAAATATAACGTTAGCCCAGGCGGGCGAGTTTAAATTCCTAAAAATATACCGTATACACAAATTTAAAATTTAGATATACTTTAATTCCAAGGTATAAAAAAAATACTTGTGTTAATTAAGATATACCGTGTACACAAATTTTAAATTTAATTGTAGGTACCGTGTACATAAAATTTAATTTTAGATATACTTAGATTATATCAATCTAAGTATATGCACTGTACGATCATATCTTTACATACCTTATTAAGGTGTACCTATTACCTTCCATGCATATCTTAACACTCATGCAAAAATAAATTCCATGTATAGCCATTACAATACATAAATAAGTAAACATTTTATGTATTTGAAAAGTGAAACGCACTAATTTGGCTTGGTTTACATAATAAGCATACCTTATACTTATATTCCAACTACAACGTACATGGTAAATTTAGTACCTCGTTTAATTTCCATACATACTTAATTTCGAAAAAACCGCATGCTAATATTTCCATATATACTACAGCATAAAAGCTGGCCGAGCAATGGGAGAAGATGGGCAAACAAAAGGAGAAGATGCTTGAACAGCCAATGATACAGCAGCTAGGACTGCGTAGAGGCAATGCCACAGGCCCTAGACCTGCACAAATGTCAGATGATGGCAGACAAACATGCACAGGGATCCAGGATCCTGGACATGATGCAGGAGTAGACATGGACAGCGAAGTGATCAGCGTTAAAACCCCAAACTCGCCTGCTCTAAGAGATGAGTATCTCGCTGAGAAACAAAGAAGAGAGAGAGCTGATAAGGAGAGCAAAGCGCTGGTTCCAGCTGATAAAAACATGCAGTCTGTACTGGGCAAAAGGGGAATGGTGTCACAACATGCAGTGGCAGGATGCGATGATACAGGATCTAGTTTGATAGAAGGCACGGATAGTAAGAGAAGCAAAAGCCGATCGATGTCGAAGTCGACCCACCTGACGGGTACCGTCAGGAGAAATGAATATTCTAAGCTGGAACTGCCGAGGCTCGGGGCGGCCTCGGACAGTTCAAGAGCTGGTTTGCCTGGTGCAAACGAACAAGCCCAAGATAGTCTTCTTATCTGAAACAAGGCAAAATGGAGAGACAGTTAGAAGTTTGAAGTGGCGGATTGGAATGCGAAACTGTTTAGCGGTAGATGGAGTTGGATCGGGGGGAGGTTTAGCCCTCTTCTGGGATGAGTCTTTTCACTTAGACCTACTCTCGTATACCAATAGACACATTGATGTTTTAGTGAAAGAAGATAGGAGTGCAATGCAATGGCGGTGTACCTTTGTCTATGGAGAACCAAAGGCACATGAACGACACAACATGTGGACTTTGTTGAGACGGATAAAGCCAAATTCGACAGCCCCTTGGTGTTTGATGGGGGACTTTAATGAAGCCATGTGGCAATTTGAACACTTCTCAGAGCATAAGAGAAAGGAAAAGCAAATGCTCGATTTTAGGGAGATTCTATCTCATTGTGATGTCTTTGATCTCGGCTTTATTGGCACTCCTTGGACTTATGACAATAAAAGAAAAGGAGGCTATAATGTTCGGGTAAGACTTGATCGCGCAGTGGCTAGTCAAAGCTGGTCGGTTCTGTACCCTCAGGCTCAAGTAAGGCATCTTGTATCCTCTCGTTCTGATCACTGCCCTATCCTAGTTCAATGCACACCAGACGAAGATAAGGATAAGCCGTCAAGGTGTATGAGATATGAGATATTGTGGGAGAGGGAGGAGTCCTTAAGTGAGGAAATTCGAACCGCTTGGGAACAACATCATGCCGCAACTGATTTAGGTTCTGTGTCAAGTAAGCTGAAATTGGTCATGGGAGCACTGCAGCATTGGAGCAGGGAAAAGTTTGGCTCGGTGAATAAAGAGTTAGGAGCCTTACGAAAAAAGATGGAGGAACTCCAGCTGGGAGGTCGACATACACATGATCAGGAGTACCAATCCTGTTCGCGAAGAATGGAAGAAATCCTCTATAGAGAAGAAATGATGTGGCTCCAACGTTCGCGTGTTGCTTGGCTTCGGGAGGGGGACCGCAATACCTCCTTTCACCGCAAGGCAGCATGGAGACATAGGAAAAACAAAATCAGCAAGCTCTTTCTGCCAGATGGTTCTTGGACGGATCAGCGAAAAGAAATGGAGACAATGGCTACCAATTTCTTTAAGGATCTGTATACAAAGGATCCCCTAGTGACCCCTCAACCCCTCCTTGATTTGATTATGCTTAAGGTGACAGAGCAGATGAATGAGGACCTCTGTAAAGCTTTCTCGGACAAGGAGATTTCAGATGCTCTTTTCCAAATTGGACCAATTAAAGCCCCCGGACCGGATGGTTTCCCAGCAAGATTCTTTCAAAGGAATTGGGAAGTTCTGAAAAATGATGTGTGCAAGGCTGTTAAACTCTTTTTTGATCAAAAGGTGATGCCTGAGGGAGTTAATACTACTGCAATTGTTCTAATTCCTAAGAAGAAGGAGTCAAAAGAGCTAAAAGATTTCAGACCAATCAGTTTGTGCAATGTGATATACAAGGTGGTAGCTAAATGCCTGGTTAATCATCTCCGACCAATCCTAGAGAGTATTATTTCCCAGGAGCAAAGTGCTTTCATTCCGGGACGCATGATTACAGATAATGCGTTAATCGCTTTTGAGTGTTTCCACAATATTGCCCAGAGCAAAAGGGAGTCTCAAGAGTTCTGTGCCTACAAGTTGGACTTGGCCAAGGCTTATGACAGAGTTGATTGGCAGTACTTGGAAGGGGTATTGGATAGGATGGGTTTCAGTAACACATGGATTCAATGGATGATGGCCTGCGTCACTTCAGTTCGCTATGCTGTTAGGTTTAATGGATCCATGCTGAAATCCTTCCAACCATCCAGAGGGCTGAGACAAGGTGACCCGCTCTCCCCATACCTTTTCCTGTTCGTTGCTGATGGGCTATCCACCATTCTTAGTTCGGCTGTAAGAACTGGGGATTTAGTTCCGCTGAAAGTGTGCCGACAGGCTCCTGGAATTTCTCACTTATTGTTCGCAGATGATAGTCTCCTCTTTTTCAAAGCAAACGTGGAACAAGCGACGGTTGTAAAAGAGGCTCTTAACCTGTATGAGCGGTGTACTAGTCAGTTGTTGAGCCCGGCAAAGTGCTCAATGCTTTTCGGCAAACACTGTTCAGACCAGACTCAGCCGGGCATAAAGTCACTACTTGATGTCCAGCAAAACTCGTTTGAAGACAAGTACCTGGGGTTGCCGACGCCAGAAGGGAGAATGAAAGCAGACAGATTCCAATCAATAAAGGAAAGGTTCTTCAAACGGTTAATTGATTGGGCAGAGAAGCATCTGCCAATGGGGGGCAAAGAAGTGCTGATTAAATCAGTTATCCAGGCGCTGCCCACGTATATGATGAGTGTTTTCAAGCTGCCGCCGAGCTTCTGTGAGGAATACATGCAATTGGTGAGGAAATTTTGGTGGGGAGAAGACCGCAGCCAGAGAAAGGTTCATTGGGCCTCTTGGCAGCAGCTTATCAAACCAAAGAGTATGGGTGGAATGGGATTCAAGGATATGAAAATATTCAATCAAGCCCTGCTAGCCCGTCAGGCCTGGCGTTTGGTGCAGTTTCCGGATAGTTTATGTGCAAGAGTCCTTAAAGCTAAGTACTACCCCAATGGTGATCTTCTGGACACGGCCTTTTCGTCAGTTTCGTCAGATTCCTGGAAGGGTATCGTTCACGGTTTAGAGCTGCTGAAAAAAGGAGTGATATGGAGAATTGGAACAGGAAGGAAGGTTCACATTTGGCGGGACGATTGGTTGCCTAGAGAGCATGGGTTGAAAGTCATGGGAAAGAAAACAGGAACAAGACTTAAATGGGTCTCAGACCTTTTAGTTCCAAATGAACAAAGTTGGGATGAGCAAGTCATAAGGCACATCTTCTTCCCCTCATAAGGCACATCTTCTTCCCCCCAGATGCGGAAGCAATTCTTAAAATAAAGCTCCCTAGTTAGGTGGAAGAGGACTTCATTGCTTGGCACTACGATAAAGCGGGTATGTTTACAGTACGCAGTGCATATAAAATTGGTCTCATAGAACAGTTGTGATCGAACAACCTGGGTGCTAGCAGTTCTCATGAGGAAGGCGTACAAGCTTTGTGGAAACATATTTGGTCAGCCCCGGTTCCTCAGAAAATTCGGTTTTTTGCGTGGAGACTGGCTTTGGACGGACTAGCGACCCAGCATAACAAGCACCGAAGAAACATTGTTCCCTATCCAGGTTGTACAATATGTGGCCATCCGGTGGAGGACGGCTTTCATGCAACTGTGGCATGTTCCAAAGCAAGGGCGTTGAGATCTGAACTT